TTAAGGACAAGGTTTGGTGAGCATCGGCGTGCAGTTCTTGGGAATGATGCTAACCAATCTGTTGCCAGACATTTTAATAATAGCAATCACAGTGTTTCAGATATGGTAATTCGAGCCCTCTGTCCCATTTGTGGAAGCAACGATAGCCGCAAACGACATGAAATGCGCCTCATATCCAAACTTGGCACTGTTCACCCCTCTGGTATTAATGAACGCTTTTCCTATGTTTAGTTCCATCTGTCCTTGCCTGTTTATAGCAGACATTGACGACAGTTTTATCTATTTATTACATTTATTTCTTACCTTATTTCCACTTGTATTTTATTTTATTTATTTTTGTATTAATTGTCTTAGCTTCCTTAATATTTTTTGTTTTAAAACTTTTATATTATATTCTGCAATGCGATTTACATATTTTGTTTACACTTTGGTATGATTAAATCCATCTAATTGGTTTATTTTTTGTCACGTGATGCTTTCATACTCTTAGTATAAAAGCCAGTGCATTTTCCACGATCCCTGCTACTAACTCTTGACGAAGGGCCTTCGCTCGAAACGTCGAGTTTCTGCTTGTTTATTTCAGGTAGTAATATAACCACTCAGCACAGCACTTTAGCACTGTTACCTTCTCAGCTTGAGATTGTTCACGTTATCGCGTGTACTTGTTAGGGTGATGAAGATGTAATATATGAACAACGAGAGAAAGGGTTTCACCCAGGATATCCAAACACGAGAAAACAATGTATGAAAACACGAGCCCGAAGCGCGAGTGTTTTCATACATTGTTTTCGAGTGCTTGGATATTCCGGTGAGACACGAGCTAGAGTTGTTTATATGGCTTCTCAAATGAATCGAGACGTAACAGAATGTTTTCGTTTGCTGTAGTAGGAATTCGTTTGCATAACTTAGTTAGGAATTCTATTCAAGTAATTGCATGCGTAATTAAGATATTTGATGAAAACACTAGTGACTTTCATCAAGTTTCACCGGGTTATCCAAATGGCATCTTGTGATCAAATAGGTGATTATCACTGGCTGAATTGCTCATGAATTATTAATGATTTGAGAAGTATTATTGCTAATAATGTCTGTGTGCACTGATGCACGCGGCATTATTTTTAATAGGGGGGGGGGTATGGATCACGTTTCACAACGAAAAAAAAGCCGTTTCACGATTCACGTGTCTTAAAAAGCAATTTCACGGAAAAGTAGATTCTATAATAACATATTAATAATAGGTTTATTAAGAGTATGTTTAATGCATGGTACAGTACAACGCTTTAAGTTCTCTCACTTCTCTACCTGGCAGTTAAAAACTACACCATAACTTAAAAAGTTTGAGTGACAAGTATGTCCGACGACCACCGAAAGGCTTCCGAACTTTTAGTCTTGTGCAATCGAGTGAGATCGATCTTGAGAGCCTGTTCGCAAGCTAATCGATCATATAAATTGATTATCGAGTATCATGTCTATTATGACTTACGAAATTGATCAAAATAAACAAAGCAAAATCACAGTTCACGAAACAGACACTTTAATTCTCATTTTACGGAGCATTTTTATCGACAATCACGCGAACAAATATTGACCATTCCACGGCTCACGAAAATACCCTTCCCACCCTCTTAATAATACTTGGTACACGCTGCATTATTTTTAGTTGTATGGACGCTGCATTATTTTTAATAATGCTGTGTGGGCGCTGCATTACATTTTCCCCCTGGGATTTCCCTGCAATAAAAAAGACCGCTCCCGTTTTTCAGAAGAATGCTAAAACTTCTCGACATTCGCTGATGATAATGCAGAGAGAAAATAATAGGTTTGATGAGGGTCAGTATTACTAATTATTTCTTTGTAATTAATAAAATAGATGAAGATACATTGTATCCATCTCTACCATTATGTGAATTCAGGTTAATTAATCTTTACATTTAATTTGTGTTCATTGTCTGTTTATTAATCTATGAATGTCGAGTACATGAAAGTTGTGTATGTGTAAATGTATAAAGAATCACTTTATATCAGCATTTCATACTATTTTCAGCATAAGTAAAAACCCTATCAATCAGACATTTCATACAATAAAACTAAAACATTCAAATTTGGAAATTATCTCATACCCATCGACATTGATATTAGGGGAGAGGGGGGGGTGGGGTGAAATTCGATGAATTTTCTTATTTTTTACCCTTTTGCCAATAATTTATGTCCAGGATTGTTCAAATAAAGTAATTTCAATACGGAAAAGGCTGTTACCGTAATTTACAATTCGGTAAATGAATATTTAATGAGCTTTCATATTCATGACGTCATTATTGTCTTGCTCCTTTACGACCTTCATCCCTAATTATGTATTCATGACGTCAGTAATGTCATGAATACATAATGATATGTTATTATGTATTCGTTCCGACTGCCGCTCGAACGGCAAAATTGTTATCGAAATTAATATATAGCAGAGTTATAGCCGTATCTTTACTAGGAAAAGATAAATTTCCACGAGTATATTGAAGAATTTTTCGTATGTTACATAGCGAGGAATCTATTCGTGACAAAAATCAAGACATATTTTAATTAAACAGAACTAAACAGTTGCTAATCCCAAGTTGTCAACGTCGTTGCTATGGTCAATATTTGTATGTTGTTCAACATTATTTAGCAATCCTCTTACATACATATATACTGTTAAGATGACCGAGTCAGATCACAAGAAAGCTTATCAAGAATAGAAGTTAGAATTAGAACAGTTGTAATATTTTTTGACACTATCATCTGTTATTTGTATCAATAAAACATGCTTTAAAACTTTACAAACGTTGCGTTGTTATGTGTTGCTAAGTCATTAGCGACGCTTGGGTGTATGCATATATTAACGTACAAAATATTTGTACACTTATCAGGCGAGCGGGTCGCGCGGGCGGAAAGAGCGGGCTTTGCCGGCAAAAAATTACACAATATTTCAGTTTTTAAATACATTTATTTCTTCAAAACGTTTTACAAAATTATGCTTCTAATATATATCGTCACTTGTTTCAGGGGTTTCGCTATCAGATTCTTCATCATAGCTGCTTTCATCTTCCGTAATCCATTTGGTATGTCTTGGGACTGTTATATGAGAACACAGTTTTAACCTCTTTGTAGTTGATAAATTACTTCGTTGGCCTTGCCTTCTCTTGCTTCCGCGCCCTGCTTGTTGTAGTAGGGCTTTTGCTCCTTGTTCGGCAAAGTCTTTAACAACGTCACCTCCGTGAGTCTTTACAGATTCTCTTACATTTTTTCCTTGGAGTACATCTTGACCAACTTCTGTGGCTGCTTGTAATACTCTTTTGCCAACAACTTTAGCACCTTGTTTGAATAGAGGAATAGCATATCTCGCAAGGCTCTTGAAAATACCTCCGATCCCGTATCCTCTTTGAAAACGTGCACCACGATACCCAGCGATGTTTCCGCCACGCTGCTGTCTCAAGAAATGGTCTCTCAGTAGTTTTTCGCCCACAACAAGTGTACCTCTCGGCATGTTGATGTGTTCAGTTCAACTTCACGCAGTCAACTAATCAAATATCACTTTGGTCGCCTATTTTATGGTTAAAAGACTGCCTTTCATCCGTTCTGATATCTATAATTTCACCTCGGCGACAATGTGGACAGCTGGCGATTACATGCGTAAAATCTCCTTTGGACACTTGAAAATCACAGATCATACAGCGACAGCTTTTACAATTGGGATAAAAATCTGTCCATGTGCATACGGGGCACGTACTCAAATGGGAGATGTATATATCTGTATATAACACAGAAAGCTATAGGTCATGTCCATTTAAGATTAGGCTTTTATCAATTTCCAATTCTGCAAGACCTTTTATAAAAATGCTCAATCCAGTTGGTTCGGGAATATATGGATGATAAGGCGTCACGCAATATTTCAGAAGGTCTACAATGCCAGTTCCTCGTATATTATGTCCTCTGTAAACGATTTCTCCTTTTCCATTCCAAGTCAAAATCCCCGTAGAGGTTAAAATAGAATGAAGGATTTCTTCGGCTTCGTGTTCATCATCAACGTCAAGATATTTGAGAATGTCTTCAAGTCTCCACTGTTCAGGAGATGATCGTTTGTCGCTATCCATGATTGGAATGAGGAGATGCCCTTCATACTTTTTTATTTTATACTAATTCTGCCAGGCCTTCTAAAAGTGGTCCAAGTACCAATCCCAGAAAGCCGCTTCCCCGCTAAACAAGAATTTCCTTTTACGTCTTAAAATTTCTATTTCTGTCCGCTAAATCAGCTAGATCTTGTTTGAAAGGTCTGAGTTTGTCCTTTGTTTCTTTAGAGTATGTGAAATTTTCTATACAATGACACAAGCATCGAATTTGCTCAGCTGATGTAGAATTAAGAAGAGCTTGCTGTTGAGTTCGATGAGAAGTACATAAGGGTTCTACAAATGGTCTGTGTTTCATATAACTGCTAGTCATCTCTGTTCGGCGGTCAGCAACGGAATGAAGATTTAGTTGGAAATAACACATATATAAGGGTCGGCTCGCCCTCTATAGATTAGGTCTAGACAATAGTCTTAATAGTCTTTACTATAGTCTTTCATAGTCTTTACTATAGTCTTTCATATAGTCTTGACTATAGTCTTTCATAGTCAGGACTATAGTCTTTCATAGTCAGGACTATAGTCTTTCATAGTCAGGACTATAGTCTTTCATAATCAGGACTATAGTCTGTCATAGTAATAATAATAATAATAATAATAATAATAATAATAATAATAATAATAATAATAATGGAAACTTTATTACTTTCAATAATATATATATACACACTACAATGATAAACCTCTCTTTACAGGTAGTTTACCAGTGTCTACTTGAATTAACACTCTACATAATAACAATATTAGTATGACATTAGTTGTGGGTTATCCCATTCTTTGTTACGCTTACAGAATATATAATACGAGGACCTGATACATATGTTAATAATTTTCCGAAAATAGTACTTTCTACATTGTTCATCAAACTTTAGATCCTTCAGCATTTCGGTGAAATCTAGCGACGGGTTGCTGAAAACTCGTAATAAGCTAATTGATAAATTTACAAATTTTACTTTTTCACAATTTTGGAGCTGTTCGTTAATTAGATCTTGATATTTTTGTCTTTTTCGAGTTGCATTAGTGAGGAGATTAGATTCAAATCCGACGGTAAGTTCAAGTATATAAATACATTTGTTTTCAAGTGTTATCAAAAGATCAGGGCGCAATTCATCTCCGGTGATAACAGATGGACTGATATAGCCAGGAAGGTCAGCATAAAGGTTACAATGGTTCACAGATTTAAGTATGGATGCTATGAAGTTAAGCATCGAATCATGACGCCACGTGAAACGTCCTTCATTTAGGTAGGTCTTGCATCCAGCGACGACGTGAAGAAGTGATTCTGGATTCAAACAAAACGAACATTCGGATGTTGGTGATATTCCCCATTTCAGAAGGTATTTGCGAGTCGGAAGAGTGTTATTTATATACCGGATAGTGAAGTTAAATATATTCTTCGGAAGTTTACTCTGAACGGAGGACCATATAGAGTTGAATGAGAGTGTAGAATGTTTAATGATATTGGAGAAAAATGAGCCTTGTGAAATGAGGTGGTGTTGAAGCTTGTCTTCATGTTGTTTCCTGATGGTGTTTAATACGTCCTTGGTGTTTTTGTATTTGTCATATTGTACATTTTTGTGATTGCTAGTATCCTTCCAAAGGTTATTGATCGCTTCATTTGGCGACGACTTTAGAGCTTTCCGAGAAACAGTTTGGCATTGAAGGAATTTGGTTGAAGGTAGAATGATATTTAATCCAAATTTATTGTGGGGAAGTAGGACGTTACTAAGGGTTGCAGAAATAGGAAGTTCAAGACAATATATAAATATAAACTAACATGAATACATCTAACTCTACATGATCTAACAGAACAACAAATTACATGACACATAACTGAGATACTATTTTACACAATTCATACATATTAACTACTTAAACCTATTATAGCGTCACATTGTAACACAGTTGTTATATTATATATGACTATCTAATTTTCAGTCAGTAATACCAAGACATAAACTGTTTAGAAAATAACTACGAAATATACTCTTTAGACATGCAAGTAGAAGCTTTAATTAAGTACTCTTAGCGAAATTAGCCAGCTTTGATGTAAGATATATAGCTTTGTTAAGACAAGATTTGATTAATTTAGCAATAAATAGGCATTAGCTAGTCATATATTAATTATTACGTCTACAATTGCAACGCCTTGACAGACTTTTTGAACTTAGTGAGAGATTCAGCTGATTTAAGTTCTTTATCTAGCGAGTTCCAGAGAGTGACAGCCTGGTAAGATATGGATTTTTTTAGATAGTCAGTGTTAGGTTTCGGTAGTACATAAGTGATTTTATTTCTAAGTTCATATCGATGGCCAGTTTTTATGAATAGAGACTGTAACGTTGCAGGAATCAGATTATAATAGTTTTTATAAGCTAAGTATAAAAGTTGTTGTTTAAACATACTGTTCAGCGTAAACCGCTTCACTTTTGCGAGAACATCTTTTCCTGAGGTGTACCAATCCAGGCCAAAGATAACTTTCGCTGACCGGACATTTTTCGTTCCAACTCGTCGAACAAAGTCTTTCCACATGAACCCCATATCAAAATTCCGTACGTGATGGAAGGTAACACAACTTTGAAATAAAAGTCTAGCTTTGCATTAATTGGCAAGAAGTACAGTGATTTCTTGTTTTATCTGGTTTCCTCCTAATTTGATGCATTGAAGTGGACCGATAAACTTCCTTCGACTCATTAGCATGAACTCCGTTTTGTCAGGATGCGCGTCAATCGATTTTCACAGCACCATTTGTAAAGTTTGCCTAAGATCCTGTTCAGAATATTTGCCACCAAATCGTGATTTGGCGCAATGACATAAAGTGTGGTATCGTCCGCATACATGTAAATTTCTCCTTCTTTTAAGTCATCGATATCTGGCAAATCATTACAAAATAACGAGAAGAGAATCGGACCTAGCACAGATCCTTGGGGTACACCAAACTTAACAGGCATTGACTTCGATACATGACCATTGATCACAGTCGCTTGATGGCGATTCGAGAGATAGTTCTTTATCCACGACCAGAGATTGCCCGATACACCTAGCTCTTGAAGTTTCCTCAGCAAGATTGGGTGAGAGATCGAATCGAAAGCCTTTCGGAAGTCCACGAAGACAACGCCGACCACTAAGTTATCGTCTAATGCCCGTCTCCAATCTTCGGTCATTTTCGCCAAGAGTAACTCTGTCGAATGACCTTTCTTGTATGCCCATTGATGAGTGTGGCTGAGCTCATGATCTGCGAGGTGGGTGGTGATGGTTTGGGACACACACGTCTCCATGAGTTTGCCGGGCACACAGAGCAAGGATATGGGTCTGTCGTTACTCTTTTCTGTTTCATCGTCCTTCTTGTACAGTGACGAAACAATGGCATTTTTCCACTGGTTGGGTACGCTGTTACTTATTGCACTTGATGTGTAGAGGGAAAGTAGAGATGGAATCAATGCCCGACCAGTGTTCTTGAGTAACTTGGGTGAAACCTTATCCGGACCGCATGCCTTGTCGGGTTTCAGGTTTAGCACTCCTTGTAACACACTCTCGTATGTCAGGTTGATATCCATCACTGTGGGCGAACGCGATTGATGGTAGTGGTGAAAGTTGCATGGCATTCTACAGCGAGAAGTGTATCAGCCAGTTTTTACCAATTGTTGAAAAATGATCATTAAATAACTCCGCTTTCTCTTGATCAGATGTTATGATTTTTCCATCTAGACCTTTAATACCAAGTATTGGTTTACTCGACAGTTTATTCGTAGCATTTTTCAGCAATCTCCAGTATGACTTACAACTCTTTACTTCATTGAACATGTCTATGTAGTATTTCGTTTTGGAAAGTCTTACTTCGCGT